CGAACGAAGAAGAAGAAGAAGAAGAAGAAGAAGAAGAAAGAAGAGAGAGAGAGAGAGAGAGAGAGAGAAAGAGAGAGAAAAAGAGAAAGAAAGAGAGAAAGAACAAACGTGATAAAGGGCGAGAAACGTGCGGACAACAGCGGCTGCTTACGGATCTCCTCGCAGCTGACTGAGTGCCCCAGTGTTATTTGCGGACCGCGCGATTCCTCTATTTGCAATTCACAACGATAACGTTCCCGGTGTTGCCCCGATGATCCCGACTCCTTCGTCGGGCTTCTTTTTCTCGCGCTTGCTCTGACTCACCGACGTGTTACGGATCGGGAAGAAAATACTCGTACGATAACGGTGATAACTGTGTAATTGCGGTATCGTACCGAACGAAGGGTGAAGGATCTGATGGTCTATATATATATATATCCGATGCTGATTCATAAAATTCACAAAAATCATTAATGCATTAAAGCACAAAGTAGATACGTTAACGCGAAAACAATGTCAGTATCGCTCTGCGTCTTGGAAGCGGGAAAAAAGTCATCCCGGTTTCTTCAACGAACGTCTTTTGAATAATTCTTTCCTAGCCGCGCCTCAACTTATTACTGTTTCCTCAGAACTTTTTGATTTTCCGCATTAAACACGTTTAGTAATTAAGAACTCATTACATTTATCTCTATTTTTCATTATATCTTTATATTGTTATTTTAAATAAGATAAATTACAACGTATCGTTTGTCGCGCGCAACGAAAATGAACATCAATTGTACTCGCGATTTCCAATCAAGATAAAGAATTTGCGATTTTTGAATCGAGAGAGAAAATGCCGAGGAAACAAAAGATGCGAGCATGCGGTATACCGCATTCCACGCCGTTTCTTGTAGCGGTTTCCGTGTACACGGGATGCATTCAGAGCCTTCTGACCGGCTACATTGTTTGTTCTCATTAATGGCTCTAATTAAGTACATCGCTACATAAATATCGTCTCATCGTCGGCACGATATGTTGCGATTCACCTGCCTGCCGATGGGAGACTACGAAGATAATATCTACCGAGAAATGTAACTGGTGCACGCAATCTTTATTTACTTTTATTTGCATAAAATTTGCATTCATATAAAACGTTACGTAAAAAAACTCGATGTGAAGCTAAACGAAGTGTTTTCGTTCTGCTCTGAATTGGGCAAATTTCGACGTCGACGCGCAGACTTCGCGGCGGCGTGGATGATAACAAACGCGGGTAATTGTGCTCGAAGACTTTGGAATGGCAGTGTGTCGCCGCCGGCCAGTAAATAAAGGATTATTGCTTCGGGAGAGCAATTGAGAAAGTACGAGAGTGAAAGAAGACGAGAAAAATAATCAGCCGGATTGCGCCCGATTAGCCGCGACGACGCGGTCATAAGCTGAATTGTCATCCTTTTTTCTCTCTGCAAATATGCCTTTCTCCGGACAAACACGACTATATAACTTGTAATTTATAATTTTACGTAAAACATTTAATGCTACAAGAAAAATCTTGATATCAGTTGTAATAGAGAATAATCATAATTCACTACAATTTCAGAGTTTTGTATATGACAACTTATCGAGTAGTTTGGAATCAAACCGCGCAAATAATTTATGAATTATTTTTTATTTCAAGTTTATTAATTAATTTCCCAAATAAATCGCATAGAATTACACGACGATCTCGTTATCGCCTAACTCCATTCTGTTCTAATGTGATTTCTGCTACGCCTGTCAATTAGATAAACGAGAGATGAATAACGCCGTATACGCGCGCCTCGTTATTAATACAGTTATGGCTATTATCTATTCTCGTGAGCGCCACTCAATCATAAACTTTATTGCCAGACATTACTCGGCACTTTTCCTTCGCGTGTAGACGGAATTATATCTCGAGCGGCACATTTGCCGCCTATAAAGCGAATGAATTAGACATGTTCTCGTCTTAACTCGCCTGTAACATGGTTACATTTATCGTAACATGTTATCATTATTTTAAATTTATCTATATTATAATCTCGATCTCCTACGCAATGGGATTGATCTATGCACCGTAGCTTAATTATATTATTACGATACGGTCGTTATCTGAAAAAATGCCGTCTCGAAAAAAGTAGCACCGCGTTTATGGAAAATTATATCACTCACATTTTTCCTAGATGCTTGCCGCGTTTGATTGTTGATATTGACGTAACGAATCTCGGAGAAATGTTTATCAAAAGTGAAAATGACAAGTCTTCCGGCTTCGTTCGCGTAAGAAACGTTAGAAGAAATGTAAATCCAGACACTCGCAGACCATATTATCTCATTAGTTGACCTATTTGTCGGATATGCGATTATTTGCTTTCGTTCGATAACCGATAAGTACTTTCTGTACTTACATACGCACCGCAATTAAGAAATAGTATAATATTTGTCTTGATTGCAAAATTATACGTGATGTCTTGGAATCAGCGAAAGACCGGTGCATAGAAAAATCATCGCGTTGTAAAACCTGCGGTTGAATTTTACTAGCAAAAATATCAAAGTACGAATAGTCTTCGTGCCATAAGCTGGTGAAAACAAAGAATTCTTTTCTGATGTAGCTTTCAAAAGTGAAAATAAATAATGGAACGTTACTTGTCGTTGATTGTGAAATAAATTTCAACAAATTTCAATTTAAAATTTAATAAGATACCAAGTGTTGAAATTTTTTTAATCACAAAAAACAATGATCTTTGCTAAACAATTTTTTGAGTAAAAAAATCGATAGTTTAAAGTAATTTTTATTAATTATTTCTGATTTTGCTAATTCGTTATAGATCTTGCCCTTCGGATTCTTCGTAACCCTACGATTCTGCGTAATCAAAATAAAGAGACTCGCCACATCGCTATGGAAGCTGCTCCAAATACAGCTCTTACGCTTCTGCGGGAGATGATTCCGCTTTTCCGGAGCGCGAAGAAAAAAATATATAAGATAAGTACGCCGTCGAAGCCTGTGGTGCGATTACGCAAATTACATCCCGTCGTTTCCGCATAACGTTCCTCATACGGCACGGTATTTACGAAATTGCAGTTCCCGTTTCTCGCGATTATAACGTTCACGGTTCGGTTTATTCATCCACAGAGAGTAATCGGCGCGCATCAAGCAAATTACCACCGTGTGTCAACGGCACTTAACATTTCGCAAAATAAAATGATTGACGCCGATCCGCGAACGCCTGCAATTAAATGGCAGACTCCTCGGAAAAACATTGAGAGCGTCGATGTACGGGGTGTGTCAAGAAATAAGATCAACCAGCGAAAAGATGATGAAGAACGCTGATTAAAGTGAAAAAAATGTCAGTAAAATTTGCAAAGTGTGAGCGCGAATCTTCTGTGAAAATTTTACACTCTCGAGTCGCGTGAAAGAAAATGTGTATCTGTGACTCGGAGATTGAAGACGGGAAAAATCTTCTGCGACAGATATACGACGGCACAGGTTGTCTGAGAATGTGCAAGGTGTTATTAGCTATCGCACCGAGATATGCTTGCGTGAGAGAGGATACATATTGCTTCAATAACAGAAAAACATTGTCGGGGCAGAGAACGATTATTATTTCGTTTTGTGAGCAAGAAATAATCTAATGTTTACCTGTACAATAACAAAGCTTTTATCACACATACACACACACACACACACATTTGTTTGACGTATCATATCTATCAAGCTACACAAAACAGAAAAAGTTATGTACATTTTTCACTAAGTGCTCTGTCACTTTCTCACAGATCGACCTTATCTTTTGACACATTGATCTTTTGACCTTAACTTTCGAAATGTACTTTTTATTAATGTATTAATTGACTAAAAATGATCTTATTAAACATCAGGAATCACTCTATTATAGATTTAATAAAAAAATTAAATAATAACTATTAATTTTGACTATATATAAGATCGTTTTAGCGAATCTTCGCGATGCCTAGTAAATTATTGCAATTTATTTAATCGAGTATAAAATAAAAGATTGAAACCGATATAATTTTCATGAATTCAATTCTCGATGCTGCGGTTACAGAAAAGCAGTATCTCACCTCATGTCACGTGTCAACTGTCAACTGTCAAAGTCACTTTCGCGTTGTTGTGAATAAACACAAGAATCATTTTGCGGATGTTCTCCGCTTCGAAATACAATATATTTACCAAGAAATTATAACGGTTTCAATCCCTCTTCTTTATCTCTCGTCTTTTTTCCAATCCGATACAAGGATCCTCAATCATCCGATCGCGATACCGAAAACTCACGTGTCGATCGTTGCTCGTCACGCGGAAGACGCGAGGACGCTTCCGCGATCGCGCCGTACGTTCGCGCGACGACGATCTACAACAATATCGCGACATTCCCGCGATCGTAATTGCCGTAATTACCATGACGTGTAATTGTGCTCCGGCGCGACGCCACGCTCCGGCCCGGGACCACCGCACCGTCCAGATCTCGATCAGCAAATCGTACGCATATCCCGCACCGTTCTCGTGTCACGCGCACGCTACTACCTCTCTCTCTCCACGGCGACTTATCCACGCCGAATTCTTCACGCTCTCTGATCCGTCTAGCCGCACCGAACGATCGGCGAGCGATCGGCGCGCGATCGGCGCGCACGGGGCCTTCTCTCTCTCACGCGCCCGACGGTCGGCCGGCGCGGACCCGGAAATCCGAACGCCTCGCGTGCTCGTGCCACAGGTGGTAGCGGTGATGGTCGTTTCCCGATGGGATAAAAACGGATAGCCGCGAGCGGGCACATACGGGCCGTTCATCTTATAGGGTGTCTCGTAAAAAGCGGGATCGCGCCGCGGCAGGAATGCATTCTTCCTCGCGATCGATCGATTGACCCCGCGTCTTCTTCTTCTTCTTGAATGGAATTTTCTACGGAGAACTAATTGTTGACTTGTTAATTTTTATCATGTAGTATCTTTGACGTTTTCTGTATTTTTTGAAAGTTTTTAGCGAAATTGCAACCTAACGCACGCTTACTTTTAACAATCTTGACGCATTAAAATGTATCTCAAAATTAACTTACGGTCTTCAGACGCATTATCATTAACACCGTTAAAGTCGTGTCAGCGCTGTCGCCACTATAATACGCGTATTATCACGTGAATTTCCACGAAAGATTGTCGACGAAAAATTCAGGAGCCAAGAGTGAAAAGCAACTTTGCGGAATCGTCTACAAGAACTGCCGCGACGACGACGATGATGAATATATATACCGACTTGTCGGGCGGCTGCAGCGGCACTGATCCTAAAAAGTTCCTCAGGAACCCTCATGTTTTCCAAAAACTCCGAAAGCGCGACAAGGGTGGAGGAGGAAAGAGTCGATGGAGATGGAGGTAGAGATGGAGGTGGAGAAAGAGCAGGGAGCTGACGAAGGAGAGGACAGAGGGAGACTGAGAAGAACTGAAGAGAGAGGATCACGAACGCCGAGGGTTCCCGGGAGGGACGCAGGTGGAAGGGAGAAGGGAACAGACTAGCGACCCGGACGTGGGAGTGAGAACGCGACGCGAGGGTACGAGACGAAGGAGGAAGAGCGAGAAGAAATCCACAAGAGAATAGAAACGAGAAAAGAAGAAAAAAGCCATGGGGGAGAAGGACAAGAGAAAGAAATATATGTTCGACGAATGGAACTTTAATCGCGGTTAATTGCCGCATTGTCCAGCGAATCGATCGGATTTATGAATGGTGGCACCAGCGGCGACCACGAGGTCCACGTGCAAGAAGGAGACGGACTTGTCTCGTTCCCCTCTTCTCGCATCTCTTCTCTTTTCACTTGTTCTTCGCAGAAAAGTCATGAGATGCTGGCCGAGACCTCGCCGGTCCATCTCCGTCGCGACGCTGTCGGAGACGAATTCTCTTATCTCCCTGTCCTCTCTATTACATGCCCCGTCGGTGCTGTGCCCCACGGCTTAGCGACATGGTTGGCCGTTGCCGATGGTGGGACCCGTGGGATCAGTGGGAACCGCTCGCACGCGGTGGGGGTTCCGGATGACGGACGGCCCGGAACGGATAGCAGATGGCGTTGAACGTGCCCGCGAGGAGGATGCGAACCGCTTCTGATCAGGGGAGATGATTCCTAGCATCCGCGTCGCCACGGGATGTCGTAACAATCCTTTACTTACCATCTTTTCTCCTTTCGTAGACCAAAATAGCTGCCATTTAAATTTCCGTCTTGGAATTTCCGCCATTTTTGCTTTCTCCTCTCAATCCGTGAATAAAAGCAATCTCCAGGATTCATCTCCAGATTTGATTGTGTCTATTTTTGCGTAGAAAGAACTTTAAAAGCTGCTCCCTGAAACTGTTTTCAAACTCGAGATTAAAGAGGTAATTAACACAACAGCGGAAAAAATAAATTGCTGCGTAAAAAAAATTCGCGGATCGAGAAGTTATCTGCAACCGTCTATTGATAACCTCCAAATGCAATCAATTATTCATGGAGTATGTTGATTAGATAAATCATTTGTGAGATTCATGAATAGCTAGATAATATAATAGAAAGTGAGAACAGAGCAAAAAGTTTGATCGAAATACCTTAATGAACTGCAAAATTTCTTTTAGCAAACTTAATTGAAATCCATACAAATCCAGAGCAAGCCTCCTTTGTCGAATGAACTTTTCTCTGATATTCTCTCTCTCTCGATATATCGTTCGACATATTTTCAACTTTTGCGCCACGTCGTGGAAAATAGCGCGAAAAGTTTTTGCGTTAGGTAAAACATCCAGGTCGTAACAATGGTGAAATTGTTTTCGTTTTCATTGATGAAGGCGTTCACAAATCTATAAATCAGTGCGCACATTAGCCGCCTGGCGAGAGATCGAGGTAAACAATTGTCATCACGTTTAAAGTAGTTTAAAGTAAAACGAGAAAAAGAAACGTTGGTGTAGTAGTGCTCCAATAAGAAGTTATGGCCACACAGGACAGCATCTAATTTGCGTGGTCCAAATTGATCTCGTCGTTTCGTGGTGAATTTGCGCGATCATGCGTAACGACCGTCAACCGGATCGAACCGCTGACGTCGTCTCTGCGAAGGGCGTAAACAACTCGGCAAGAGAGGCTAAGTAAGTAAGATCGAGACAAGATCAAGAGACATTCTTAAGAACCGGAGCGAGAAGGATTAGATCTTCTGCACCGAACAGAAAATAGGCTTGCAGTGAAGTGAACGCAGTTTAGAAGCTGTTCTGCGACCGAAAAAAATAAGTTGGCAAGCGTTAGAAGTAGACTAAGCCGGTAATTCGGGAAGGAAAGAATGTTAGAACACATCGGTGGTGGATCTATTATAAAAGCCGTCTGGACCCTCGTATTTTTCAAGAAGCCTCGAAATGGATTTTATAATCAGCAAATTAATATTCATAGTATAATTAACTTCGAACAGACTAAAAATACGGATGGTAAGAAAAACTTATCTGATATATATATATCAAAACCGGTAATTTTCGATTTCTTTCTTTCTTTCAGATACGGAATTGTTTTTATTACAATTTTAATCTTTCTCGTTTTCTAGATCAACAGAGTTAAGAAACCAGCAATATAAAAGGATCTTTCCGTTTAAGGGTTAAATATTTGTTCACCAACTCGTAATAGCTGGTAAGAGAGACACGGCGTAGAACGGACGAACGCATAGAACGGGCTAGACCGGGTCAGGGGGAAATGATGTAGCTCTATCGCACGTATAGGGGGCGTGAACACGTGGAATGAGACGTCGTTTGGAACTTGTTTCGATTGGAACGAAACAAAACGAAAAAAACGACGGCGAGCGTCGAGACGGCATAGGCTGCGTGCGCAAGAAATACGGTATGGTATACACAAGGAAGTATACGCTTTTTCGAAACACCGTAGAGTTTCGAAACCATAGAGTTGATAAATACGAAGATCTGGCATATTTGAAACATGATATAACACTTTCTCAAACATTTCACATTTTTGTGATAAGTTAAAGATCAAACTTCACTTTTTGTAGGACACGAAATTGAAAGTTTAAGTATTTCTAATAGCATGAGAATCATTGTTTTGGTACATAATCCATTGCCATTTACTTCTTAATGTAATAATGTAAATAAATGTATTAATTTTTTGGTGATATGGATAGATTAATAAGTAGAACTAATTGTTATAAAAAAATATTTTTATAGAGATGCTAAAGCAATATTTTTTAAATATATATATTGTTTTAAATTTATGAGACAGCTAAAACTCTCACTGAATTATTCTATTAGTTTAGTAGTTAACACGGTATTGCATGTACAAGCTATAATGTACAATTATATATCGAATTGAAATATTTTAGATTTGATCGGCAAGTAATTTTAATCACGGACACATCTTTGTTTTATATAAGCGTCTACGAATTGATGATCAGAGTCCACGTTTTTACAGCATATTTGGCATCGAAAGTGGGCGTTTATCTTTGAACATTAACGATATGCGAGTATTCGGTTGATTTCGAAGTGTAGAACATGCGCCGGTCGTGTTTCTCTGGTTACGTATGTCTGACCGGAGCTAAGTTTCTATAAGTAGGTTCAAAAATGTTTCACAGAACGCAAAATGACCAGTGATATTAATAAGCGACACAATCGATTTCTACGATCTAGCGTGACCTCCTTTTTTAATTCGACCGAACCGGCTGAGGAAGTTTTGCAATTACGGATTTAATTAACTCTACTGTCCCGTTAATATTCCTTTTTGAACCATCTCCTTATCTGCAAAATGTTGTTTAGCAAATCTTTCCTTGAGACTGATGATATGTGAATTCAATCCTGAAATTTTGTTGATATCAAATATGTCCAAGAACGCACGAATTCTTTCTCAAAAGATGCTAATTTATGAATTGTGCCGTTAATTGCGCGCACAATCAAAGAGGCTGCTTGAAAAAATTTGTTTAACGAATTATATAAAAGTTTCCAAAGTTATGAATTTCTAATAAGCCAAAACACATAGTTTTAACATTAATATTTTTTTATTAAATTTATTAACTCGTACATCAAATAATATGAAAATTATCTCTGTCTCCTTTTTCTTAGCTACAATTATTAAAATTCTACGAGTTATTAATATTTTATAAAATGTATTTTTTTTTAGTAGATAGAGGAGTCACTTATGGAGGAAATAGAAGAAAGTAACATTGGATGCTGTATGGATCGATTGGTTCTAACGACTGACCGCCCAACGAAGTGTTTTAAGATACAATTCGATTCGTCGTGGTATCGGTGAGTAAACACATAAAATTTATAGTACAAATTGCGCATTGCGTATAATCTCCTCTAATAAATTGGAATAAGCGAAAGCGCACCTAAATTAAAGACACCCACGAAAAAGAAATAAACACGTGGGCGAGCTAATTGTGTCGACGTTTGTTTTCATTTTCTTTAACGAAAATGCATTGGTTTATTAAAAAATATGCGTGACATTGTTTATATATCAAATAAAAGTGAAGAAGTAAATAAGAGAAGGAGAAAGCCAGATGATAAAAATAGAAATTAAAATAAAAAAGAAAAGAGTTACTCTGAACTTTCCAAAATTATTATTTTAATATCATGAAATGTTATATATAAATACGTATATATATTATACGAATTAAGCTTAAATATTAAATTACTATGTGTCAAATCATAAAATAATGATTATTTTATGAGCAAATTTTAAATTATGTTTAAAGATTCTTACAAATTATGCATTTATTATACAAATTATACTTTAGTTACAAGTTATATGGCCATAATTAAATGACTATAAACTATAATTGCAAATTAACTCTACGTGTCAAGTAACAGTGCAATTATCGATGTCTCCGGATTAAAACGATCACCGTTTCTCAATTTTCCCGTTATTATTCGCGGCTGAAAGGACACCCGGTAGGTCCGGTACACCCTGTATACACGCAAACATCTGTTCCTCCGGCGCGAAATAATCGCACGCATAAATAAACCACGACAGAGTGCTGGCGTGCGTGTCTCACGTGAAGCGGCGAAAACGTGACTTCGCCGTTCACGATTCGACGTCCCTAAAAAGTCACAGTGAAGCGAATCTCCTGCAAAATCCGACGTTACATGCGATGTTTGTACGGATATCCTGCAGAAATTTTCCGGTACTTTATTAACGAATTATTTTATCGATTCTTTAAATTATCAAAAAGTATTATTTACAATAATTAACAGTAGCAAATTGCTATAAATCTATATATTTTATTATCGAAATCAAAAATTTAGAAATTGAATAGTGTGATATTAAGTAGAACAACCTTGTTTCTTATTTTCTCTCTGAAGAAGATACGAGGATAATGTGGGAAGACGCCACGCATATGCTTACAGACGAATAGTTAAAATTCCAACCAGTTTGTACAAGAAATCAAACACGATTCGTTACGACATATCAGAAGATCGAGCGAAAGTCAGATTTAGATTTAGATTTAGCGGCGCAATCAAATCTTTAAAAAATAATCCAGTCGTTTCTAGTATAATTAACTTTATTTCGTAGTATGTTTGGCGAACAATTTTACATTTTATTTCATTTATGACGAATAAACATGAAATATACAAGCTGGGGATACACACAGTTCGTAAAATACAAAATCAAAATTCTTAAACGAATAACTAACGTCGCATAAATAAGCCCACTTAATGAAATTCTTGCGTGAATAAAAAACAAGCATAAAGTGAAGAATAAATAAATAGAGAACAACATTAAAAATATTTTTCGAACCCGATGTTTAGAAAAATTGGTTTCTTTATCTACTTTATTCATTATGCTAAAGAGAAAACAATCGATAAATCAGGCGATATCAATGTCTGTTGCCAAAATGTACAGGGTCAACAGCTTTTTAAATGCCAATTTGCCTTGCATGCGACGTATCTCCATAAATCACTCGATTTTTGCGGGGAAAAAAAGAAGAGGAACTTGTGATTTCAATAATCCGACCGCCGTCCATTCCGCGAGCGGTAATATTATACATTTAATGCATATATAGGCGTGTGTAAAGGCGGGAACAGATACATGTATACCTTGCGTGTGCATATGCGATCGTCCTGGTCGACCAACCAGGAAGCGATCACGGAGAACTGGTCACTCGCCGGAATTCTGTCGGATGCGATTACACGGCGCGTCGGTTCGTTTCAAAATGGGAATTCTCTCTGTCTCTTCCTCCGTCTTTCTTCCTTTCTCTCTTCGTGAATGCCGTTCTCTTCGTTTAATGCCGCTATTATTAAAGCCGGAATACGTCCGATATTCCTCCCGGTCTACAACAGTATTCGTAATCGTTCGATTTTATTATGCAAGACGGATGTATATACCTGACGTATAACATCTCATTGTAAAATAATAAGATCGTGACAGATAGTTTGCAGCGTGTCATTGTATTGTACAAAGTCTCCGGAAACCGCAAAATGTTAATTTGTAATGTAAAATTTCGCCTTCAGTCGTTGTACACAGTGCTGTTGACAACGAAGGGCAGAATCTCCGTGAAAATATCAATATTAGGATCCAGACACCGACCGAGACCCTCGATCACCAGCATGCTGAGAATCACGCTGCTGAACGATCCGTCTTGCTTGACCCGATGACGGACCATCGCGGAGAATAATTCCGTCACAACGGTACTCACGTTCACCTGCGGGATTATATTCGAGACGGTCGTGAATATAAGATTACATTTCTTAACAACGTTATACAGAGTGTCGCAAGTCGCAGTTTTAATAGCAATAACGCGAGTTCTCTTACGAATTAGACTTTTTTCATAACAGCATTTTAATAATAAATTATTTTTTTATCATTTTTTTTAAATAAAAACGAATCGAGTGGCTGTCATTCCTCGGCAGATTTTTCCGGCTATCTTTAGACTCGTGATAATTGTGATTATCTGTTATCAACATTACGATACCGGTATCAAAAACTGGTTAGTCCACCCTTACGCGTGTTAATACGCGACACGCCTCATAATTGCGTATCATTTTCCACGTGATGTGTTCAGAAGCCGATCGGTTCTGATTGAATACGCACGATCTTAAATAGCGTACCAACGTTCCCGCTATATAATCACGGTCACTCATGCACATTATTCTACTCTGTACTTCGTCGTGCTATGATAATTCGTAACTGAAACAGCAGCGGCACTTTATACAATGTTTGCGCGTGTAATTGCCTATGTAAAAACCGGAAACGAGAGATTGATTCAGAGAAGCAATTGAAATCGACGCAAAAAAGCTTAAAAAATTAATAACGATCTCGGCTAACTCCGATCGCAATGTCGTAAATTGAAATTGCGAAACTGCTTCAGTAATTTTTGTATTTCACGAAGCGCGAAGGGAATGTCGCGTTACTAACATTAAGCGGATTTCGAAGATGAGACTTCACGATGTTCTTCATCGAGCGTTTGAAGCCGTCCGGGTCGGGAGTCATGTGCGAACTGTGCTCCAGAATATATTGCGCTGCCATTTCACCCTACGTGATTTACATGCATTTTAGATAATTTTTTATATATAAAAAACTGAAAAATATATAAGACATGCAGTAAAAGATAATCGAGAGCGAAGAGAATCGCGATTCTTAATAAAGTCTTTTATCGAAAGAACATAGAAAATAAAAAATAGAAAAATTATAAATCGGAAAAGCTGCATATCGACAATATAAAGAAACAGTTGTATGCAAATTTGATTGAAATGTTTTTTTGTAAATTTATTGAAATCAAATCAGATTAAAATTAAATGAATCAAAATCAGATACAAAAACTCGGAAACATGAGAGTTAATAAAAAATACACATTATCCTTTTGGTTTACGGTCTTCATTAATAAAACAAAATTCCAACGGAAGAAGTATATACTTACGAAGTATGTTTCTTGAAAAAAAAGATAAATGTTTCCTGTTTACGTTTCCCATAACGAATGAGATAGCTCGAGTACAAAATGCCGGTAAAAAGTGAACGTTATCTCGTCGGCTTACGTTTCCCATTAATACCGAGTAAAAAACATCCCGGAGATTTTGTCGGCAGCGATCATTCAGCGATACCACTAGGCCGCAGTCCAGTATGATCAAACGCGGGTCGACCGCCACGTAATCGGGGGTAATGACCCGCCGAAAGGTGTTAAACAGGCCCGCCTTCGGGACAACCGCTTTTTCGACTAGAATGTTGCCCGGATGCAAGTCACAGTGAATGAAATTATCCTTAAATACCTACGATTAAACGAGAAATCCTTGTCATACATTCCCAATCGAATTATTTAATTATTTAATTATTCGCTCTTGCGCCAAATAAATATTTTACAACTGGAAAAAATTTACAACTCGATTTGTTCAAAATTTAAAGTGATACTCTTTTCGATCTAGTCACATAAAATTTTAAGGCTTTAGCCGAAGTTAGAATAAAAGAATAATAGGAACAATATTGAAAACTGCTCGTTCAAGTTGTTAACCATTTTAAGAACCGTCGCGATTCCTATTTTGGCGAGTTTCCGCTGTAAAACGGCGTTCTCGTGTTCGAGGTAATTGGATATCGGTAAACCCTCGTGGAAACTCTCCACAAGGATCCTACGATGAGTCAAGTGCATGTAAGGGTACGGAAACGCGATATCATTCCTTCTTGAAAAATTCGCTGAAAATCTCATGAGATTGACGGCCTCCAGTCGCATATCAACCTTTGCAAATAATTACACAATTAAGCGCGCTATATTCTTACCTATTGTTTTTAACTTCAATTATTCAGAGATTGAAACCGGCATAATCTCGATAAATTACGAAATAATTTGAATTCTTTCTCACGTTAGCATTGTCACGAATAAAACAATTTGTTTCTTGTCTCACAAACTGGTTGGATTATACCATATTCTAATCAATTTCATTCTCTGAAAGAGTCTAAACATCGAGAAAATTTTTGTTGCAACAAAATTTTCTTTAGATTACGTAGAGGATGTAAGAATCGTGGGAAATATTCGTGTTGCGAAGTTACTTGATCTTCCATTATGCGCGCAAATTCGTCGATGCAATCCGTGAGACTAAGCCAGTGTAATTGCGGTATGAAGTACGTGGCGCACTTGGAAAGGCCGCGCATTATCGCGATGTCTCTTCTGAAGCGAATAGGAAATATATACACGGTGTCCCGTCATTGCCATGTTAGCATTTCTTAGCAGATTATCTGACTAATTTGATGCCAGTTTGTTCTTGATAAAAATGTTGAAATGTCAAGAGTTCTCAGACATTTAGCGATTAAAAAGGAATTTTACGCGTATAAAATTCTAGGAATATAAATGATTAATAAAGCTATACATTCTTTTATTAATTTCAACGAATATTTACTTGAGCAAGATTCTAATTTTGAATTTTATTTTAACAGTACATTATTGTGATATTTTTATCAAGAAAAAATTAGCATTAAAATGGCTAATCTGCTAAAAACCATTCACGCGAGACACTCAATATAATTGCAATAGAAATATAAATATCTCCAAGTTTATCATACGGCTGTTATCAGCGACGCAAATAAATGTTGCCGGAAAAGACTATTAAAAATATTATCTATACGATATCTTAAAAGAGGTACTTGAGTTGGCTTTTGATTCCGGGATGCAACACTTTTACCGCCACGGCTTGTAATTTCCTAGCACACGGACTGGTAGACGCAAATTTATTACTTCCATTGAGAGTTTTGTCTGAAATAATTGATATATGTTAAACTTGTTATCTGTATCCAATTAAAAATGCATAATTAATATTAGATAAAGTTAACGTATTAATATTAATGAAAAAAAGCTTTGTCTCGCACAATTTTATTTGTGTAGATAAATTGTTACACACAAGAAGAATACTTCAGCTTACTTTCCACAAAACGCGATATCCGAGATTTTCGTGCGTCTGTGACATTCATCGTGTTTAAATCAATCGACGCTTTGTACACCTGTAAATTAACTACATAATCAGCTACATAAGCTAATAATCGGAAATCGTGTACTTGATATTTTGTATAACATAACGACGTCTAATTCATGTAACGTTTCGATAAGAATCCTTGTTTATCCCATCGAGTTTCATCTGCATACCTGCGCGCAGCATCCCGAACCGATCAATCTTTCGTTGTCGAACTTCACAAACAAGTCCCGCCAGGAAGGGCCATACGTGGCTTCGAGCAAGCGCTTCGTGTACATCCAAGAGTGCGGTGTCGTATTCCGTTGAAGTCGCGAGAGCGCATCACAGATATCGCGTGGGAAAACATCCCGTCGCGTGGATATCCACTGGCCGAACTTGATGAAAATTGGTCCGAGAAACTCTATACCTGCAAAAGTTCTTACTTTTTTATTGGATTATTTTGCAAGTGAAATTTTAATAATTTTTCTAAGTATCGAGCTTTATTTGAAGCCAAAGCAATTAAAAAAAATGTTTTTAAATGCAATGTTGATATAATTTAATTCGAAATAGATGCTTTACTTTAGTATATCGTAAATCATTGCGTTATTTACCTCTTTGCAAGATAATAGGAAACACATTCGTATGCGTCACGCGCGTTATCAGATACGCAGCGACTAAGGTGGTAATGACCGAGCTTACCACCACGATTTTCGCCAATATTAAAATTGCCCTTTGCGTGCACTCCAGGAAGCCTTCTTCCTGCTCATCCTCATCGATCTTGTCGATAGGGGTCCCCGATTGTGGTTCACGAGGTATTTTAATGCGAGGACCGCGAAACAGCGCATTCGACGAGAGATTGCGACTCGTTCTCTTGATATCGAAATCATTATCGCGGTAACGCTTTATCAGCGGATGAGAATAATTCTGATACCATTTTCTTCTCCGCACGATTTTGTCGCAATAGCGCCGCAAAAGTTTTGCCAGCGTGAAAAATCTCGTGAAATTTGAACCCAATGACATCACCGCGATTCGCAGTCATCGTATAATTATATTATTCTGAGTGCACTGACAACAAAACATTCATAATTTTATGATACGTGATGGTCTCTCCGATGTCCATGTTTTAAATTTGGTTGAATGACTTCTATTGAAATAATTCTAATTTAATTGTACGTTATTTTTGGTACATTTTGCAATCGAAAGTAATTCGCGTTGAAGTGCGCGGAGTATTGTCTCTTGTGATGAAAAAACTCTCTATTCGCTTTAGTTTCTTATATATATTTCTTTATATTTAAAATAAAGCAAATATATACGAGTATCGACATCAAAAGCAATGCTTTGTCTATCATTTCCATTAATTGAATTAGTCAATTTAGATATAATTTTTTTATTCGATAATGTCAAACGTTTATCGTGGTTTTTTAATTTTTAGCATTATTTATTATTCTGTAATTAACTTTTAAATTACTATTTTATTGGAACAAATTTTACTTAATATTTACTAAAGAATTTAATTTGCAAAAATATTTAAAATAAATGACATGGTTTTTCGTTTTAAAAATTGCCGCGTTATACCTTTGGTATTCACGTTGGCAACTCTGACTGTGTCGGTGCTGACCTCTTGTGGCTTGCGCACAGTTCATATTTTGTCACAAGCGGAATACTTGAATCTGTGATATTTACGGCACATTTAAAATTACAATACAGAAAATCAACCTGTATACCGGTAAGATTTTAAATCAGTTTTATATTATTTAAATTTTAACATTTTTATATAACAAACTGCAAACATGTGGAGCGCAAAAGTAAATTATTATGACTAATTTCTTCGATAATCCACATAGGTTAATTATAGGTTAACTATCCTTTTCACTAGATTGCATTTCCAAAATAAAATAAAAAAACATTGAGTTGTGAATTTTAAAGTTAATTGAAGTCAGAGCAATGCGAAATATTTTATAGTAATAAAAAGTTATTTGCGCAAAAAATGGCGGGGGTGTAATTTTCTCAACGGTGGCCTGCGGTGGCCATGTTGCGACGCGCCGCTTGCAACTATTCGAGCTCGCACGGTTAAAAATAAACACACCGATGAGCGTGAACGTGGAAAAGCGATATTTGCCACAATTAACATTATTTTTGCGTCGCGATCGAGCTAGTGGACTCAGAAGATATATTAAGAAGCAGTGCGCCGAGAGATGAAGCGACGCTGAGAGCGTTTCCAGAAAAACAACATTCAGAAAACGATATGTGAAAAAGTGAATTAAAGAGAGTATAATTGTACAAACAATGGATCTATTAAACGATTGAGTGTCGACGCGCACAGCGGATCCAAAAGCTTAAGTAAAAGTAGACTTGCTCTGAAGATCGACGACTGAAGGAAATCGGAACAATGCCCACCGCAGCAAACTCCTCGCTCACTTACGAGATTCTCATGTATTTGAACTCCTTTTACTTCGGTATGTTTGCCGTATGCGAGGTGGGCATGGGGCTGTTCAAGGCCGCAAACCTACCATCACCAGGTGCGAGCACGACCCTGACGGAGTTCGCACTGTTATTTTTCCTGATGGTAACCGAAAGCGGCAGGATTTACTTGGGAAGGAAAGGCAATATGACCGAACGTGGACAGCCGATTGTCATCGGAATAGCCCTGACTGTTCCTAGCTCATTAGCGACGCTCTATTTTCTATTCTGGCAGTCTCGTGTGCTCAAGCTGGAGATGATCCTCTGTAGCATACAATTAGTTCTATTGGTGTCCGAAGTAATCATCGCTATTATGTGCCTTATAGCCATTTATCGGCCACCACCTCCAGAGAAATAATTGGCCATTGTTTTGAACTCTTTTGATATTCCTGATACACCTCGCACAATGACAGAGAAATTGCACTTTGTACTTATCATGCTTAATAATTCATTCCAAGTATTATTGGTTTGTCACAGGCATGACTGAAATGCTTGTCATAGTTTTTAATATTATATATTTCTGCTAAAAAATTATTCTACAAGAGAGTATGTAATATTTTTCCCAATACATACAATATGAGTTTGCACTTTGCATAATGATAAGAATATATATATAAAGTATCAAAACATTTTTTATTAAATTCAAAAATAAAGACTGGCTATTAGAAAGAAACTAAAAATCTACCTTTATCTTCCTTGTCATATAATTTCAGTACATACAATGCAAACATTTAACATCTTACAAATTATATATTTGAATTTTCAATGTAATCATCTACATTCCACATAGACTAAATCAAATAAAGCATAAATTGTGGAATCTAAATGTTGTATTCAAGTATGATAATAATTGAAAGAAAATAATTTATCACAGTAGTCACTTTATTTCATTTAAAAGTGATTATGCAAAAATAAAACAGGAAATATTATTTACTTTATGCTAATTACATATGACACCTGTATAATCAATATTATAAACACTGCCATTTATATGTTTCGACTTTTAAGCATAAAAACTTGTACAAATCCCATCGAAAGAAGCTAATATAACTATATAGTGCTATGTCTATCTCTGTGTTCAATGTTATTGCCTATGGTGAAAAAAAACTTGCACACACGTTTGTTTGTATATGCATTTATATCAAAATAAATATTTTTTAAATAAATAATACAATGATACATGCACTCGCCATATAATGAATGGTATAATGCCGACGTTTCTTTCAAATCACACATCTTCAAGTACTTATCTTTCTAAATATATGTTACACACATGACGTACATTAACTACAAACCTTATAATAAATATTTCTCAAAGTTTATACGATAAAAATCTATCGTAACTATCGGGTATTCACGGAATATCATGTTAGTGAGAACCGTGTCAGATAGTTAATTACAAATACAGGATAGAATTTTAATTTAGCGTCTATGTTGAACCCAAATCTAAAAGAAGAGAATTCTATCCTAGTATATAGCAATTACAATGGGAACAGTTGATAGAACTCTACATCTATGACAATTACAATCTGCCTAAATAGTACAACTTTTAATGTTTTATACTATTCGCCGCAGCTCTGCGTCTCCTAATCGCGCGTAATCGAGTATTGCAATAAATTCGTAAAAATACTGAACCAAATACCAAAAGTATGCCAAATACACCAATAACGGTGATTTTATGGTGATAGATCAAGCATGATAATAATATCGCCAAACCCTGCAACAAGATGTCAATTTATGTATATCATAACCCTTGCATTGATACAGTTTCTTTTATATATTATTATTCGATTTTTATATCTACCTGACGAATGGTCATTATAATAACGAATGTGACTGGTCCAAATTTTGAAATAGTATAAAAGATATACAATTGGCCAGTTGCTGAGCAGATTGAAATCAGCAAGCAATCAATTATAAACCTAGGATACTATATAATAATGTCGTTAGTTAATATTATTATTATGCATTTAATATTATAAAACATAACGATATAAATTACTTACCGTCGTCATAAACGAAAATATTAGCGGAAAACTCGATTGTTGAAACAGAGACATTGCAGTCAGTAAACAGGAAAACATATTAATTGCACACATCATTTGTATACTTGTGACACCGTATTCTACAAAAAGTGCATTTTGCCAGGTACTCGTAAAACTATCCAACAATAAGTAACCACCCAATAAAATAACACCGGAAAGTGTCGTAGCTCCATCTAAAAGCATTGTAAGCATTGTCATAATGTTGATTATATCTATGAAGGATGTATTGCTTCTTAGTTACAATAAATTACCATTTTTATGGTCAGAACCATCCAACATGAAAAGAGTCATCCCAATAGAAATGAGAATTGCGGTAACGTATTCATAATATTCGTATTTTGTATGCGAAACTATTTTTCCCATTATCATAACTGGGATAATTTTTGAAGCTTTAGCCAGAACCTAAAACATATAAAATATATTAATCTCTTACGGCTTGGTATATAAAAGCTAATATATCAATGATTAAAAAAATTAGAAAATTCTATAATTGCATTTCTTTACCTGTGATGGAAAACTGACATATTTCAAAGCTTCGTATTGACACCAACTACTCATGATATTTGACAGAGAACAAAACGAATACTTGTATAATGGCGCCTTTTGTTGTGGTTGACGTCGAATAAGTAGATAAAATCCTGACATCAGGAATGCAAGAATACGATTTATAAACACCAGAAATTGCGAGTCTTGAAACCGCGCTTTATTCCCAGAAGCATCTTCATATTCCTGTACAAAAAATTAACAGTATTCTTATTGAATCATAACAAAAATAAAATATAAAACTTTAAAAATATAATTAAAATAACTTCAATTGCTTTTAAATTGCAATTACATTAATAATTTAAATTATATAATGATAGCATGAATATTATTTTTTATTATTTGATAAGTTTATAAAATTTATATCATATTCATACCTGTGTCACTATCTTTTCCTGTAAGTAACCCCATGTTAAATAACTGATTTGCAGACCGAAGAAACAATACATCAGCATCAAAGCATCTTGAGCAAAAGTGCGTTGGGTATGAGCGGAAGCATTAGGGGTATATGGAGGTGAGTCTAGAAGACCTGTTTCACAATGTCCCACAAAACACGACTGCACCAATCTGGGAATGCAGCCTTTCCCTGCACAAATATTTTTTACACTGTAAGTATCACAATATACATAGAAAAGTTATTCTTTGTAATACTTACCACTTCTTTGAGTATACTTTGTATAACGTATATATTTGTATATAAGGCAACCTGGCAACAACACAGTAGCATATCCCAATAAATTTAAACATAATCGAATAATCCAACTATATGTAGACGTCTTCAGAATTTCTTGTCCATTATTCGTAAATGATTTGATAATCTCACTGGTTCCAAATATAATGCTGACTGAAAGCAGTAGCAGCACACTACAAAATGTGCTTCTTTAATCATAATGCAATATAAATACAAGTTATATAAAGTATCAAAACTTTAAGTATAAAATTTATGACAGTTATATCTTGGTCAAACAAGGAAATAGGCCAAATAACTTGGTGTACAATTACATGTTTCAAATTTCTGACAGGATTTATATTACGATTTTATAATCTATTGAACACACAGTATACTGTAAGCATACCTTTAAAAAGTTTTAAGAGATGCAGTTATACATCAAATTATATGGCTTAATTGTCTCATCGTTCCAAGTAGTAAAACAATTTTTTTTACTAACGCTACAATTGGATTATCAAAGATAGAATTAAAACGCACCAAATCACAATGTCACCCATAAAGTTTCCCATAGTTTTCGCGAATGAGAAACTTCGGCGAGATGAAACTGGTTATCCCATAACCTTTGTCATGGACGTCTCCTTACTTTATTACTCATGGGTATGCTCAACGCGCTTAGTAAAACTTCTTCCGATTGTGCATTATGCTATACACTATAAACAATTATCGCGTTAGAATTATCTGCTCCACTCAATCCTATCATGCTTTGCACACGATGTTTTAATCTCCGTCATAAATGAAATGTGCGTTAGATATAGGACATGTATACACGCGTGACACGTATCACCCACGTAGAGAAACGTCAGGGCTGGTTTAAGATCTTTTTTAGGGAGCCACAGAGCACCTACGATATTATAATATGTGTCACTATTATAAAAAGAAAATTTATTGTTCTATACGCACAATATTACTGTTATTTTTCAAATAGTCGAGTCTACAGAAAACAGATTGCTCTGTTGCAAACTTTGTCGATAAAAAGGCGATAATATTGACGTAAAGTCGTGTTTAATTTTTTCTGTCAGCGAAATCTATTAGCATATATTTAACGAATTCCGCCAATACGGCAAATTGACAATACAGCAGAAATCGAGCGAATCTACTAACAACGCAATACAGTGCAAATGTAAAAATTTAAATAATATATTAATTTACTACGCTATTGGAAGCTATTTACATTTAATTATTGTCAATTCTTATTTACTAATTATTTATATTAATGGTTACAGTGTTTCGTGTATGTATGGAATATCTTACGTGAAAATACGCTCCTGATGCCATGTAACACACACACACACACACACACACATGCGTACGCTACACGCGCTGAAAGGAGAAGCGCGCGCATGTCCGATCGCGCTCGATGTACGCGGAGTGTGCAATAATTTGATCTGGTGTTAGAAAATGAAAAGTTTATAACGAAGGACGCGTGCGCGTGTAGGCAACTTTGCTACGTTGGTGCAGTATGTCAGTAAGCAGTAAGTGCGAGCAGTCTGGCCTTGGGATAAGCGCATTCAAATGTATGCGTCGTGCTCGCGTGCGCGCCGCAATGTGCGCTCACATTCAAGTATATATAGACGTATGCGATATAACGTCGTACAGGCATGCCATACCATACGACCGACTAACTCGGAGTCGTTTAAAAAAGCACGCAAAGGATCTAACCCGATGACTCGTGTGACTTGCGGGGCAAGGACACGAGTGCAACCCTCCGGATGCACCATTGAATTATGCAAACTGCCGAAGAGCCGAACTGCCATATCAACTGTCTTTGCATCCAATTATCTGGCCAACTTAAAATGGATTTTTCCTTTATAAAAATTCGATTGCACAATCATTTTCGTTTATATTCTGTTTAACGTTCAACGTTAGACATCTCGGTAATTAAATGGTATGTTGAAAAATCTTGATAAAGTAAAATTTTCCTATAATTAGATATGGCACAGGAATTATCTACATTTTTATCGTACGATAAGTATCCCTTTTTATCGTTTATAGAAGGGAGCTTTTCTAGAGTCAAATTAATAAGTATTTCTATATTCTTCAATTTTGGGATCCTTTACAAACTTCTTGAAGACAATATAATAAACTCATACAGTAAAAGTACATTTACATACCATTTATTTTTGTTTTAGATAAAACTATTTAGACAAACGCACAAGGTTCAATCCAATTGAATTTATCTATATTTATTTCATTAATTCGAGTTAAAAATACACACCTATGATTTAGATATAAACTCCTAAAATAAATACAAGTTTTTTTTTAGGAATGTTTTTTATAGCATGTTGTTTTTCAGGTGTAGAGATAAAGATCGATGGATTAACTGGAATCTAAAATCCACATGTGTTAAAACCGGTTAATCATAATTATTATATTATATCGAGGAAGACATGGATAGAAAGAGGAAGAAAGAGTGAAAGAGCGAGACGCCCGTTCGTTCCCCCTCGTGCTTAGCGGATGCTGGGTAAGTGACGCAATCAAGGAAAAATTCCACGATCATTATCCAATCGCAAAAGATCCGAAAGGCCGTAAGATTTCTTTTATTAACAAGATGTTATTAACTGACTCGGCGACTAATAATCCCTAATCAACCATGATATTCCGTTTCGAAAAGTATCGCCCACCGAGCTCGTTTAAAACGCATTAACTGTCTGTTATCGATTGCATTACCCGTGTGATATTCGCCATGAACGATATTTTATTGAGCAGAAAATTAATGATTCATTGTTAGTACAGAAAAACTAATGGATTATGTACTCGCTAGCCCGGCGTATTGAATCGCATAAATAAAATGCTGAACAAGTGCTCCTGTTTCTTCGCCGTATAATGAGTTCTTCGTAAAAATGTGAGTAAAGCCACCGACTGAGTGTCTCAACCTCAAGCATAAACAAACAGATAAAGATCAATTCGAAACGAGTAGCTGCTCTGACTACGCGTGTTTCAGATTCATGCGTTTCTTATATATCTGCAGCTGTCCAGCATACTCATATTCACACTCTATTGTTCTAATAATTAACTGTCCGTAATTAATCAGTAATTAAAGTATAGGCTTTTCGGTAATAAACACATTTGATAAACAATACGTAATAATCCTCGTTAAACTAAATCGTTAAAATAATAATAATATAATAATCCTCATTAAAATAAAGTAAACTATATTCTATAAAAGTTGATCTGTATATTTCTGCACAGTTATCGAATATGATAAATTAAATGTTGTATTTTCTGTTATTATTTATATTTATCAAAATATCAATGTATGACTGAAAAATTATTCATACCTTGACATTTTAGTTGAGAAATAATCGTTTTAATCAAGAGAATATCAATCACGTTTATGCGTGTCTTTTACCGAACATTCTGCTACTGATATTGCGAAATACGATTTATTGCTTATCCATTCTTTTTGCCCAGGAATGTTTTTTTCTCACGCAGGTGTAATACGATCGAGAGCGCAATTAAAAACTTGTGAATGCCGATCTTGTCGTTCCACTTTTTCCAATGTTGCGGCAAAACCTTGAACGATATATTCCGTTCTATCTTACTTCGTTATGCAGGGTAGATTAATTCAATTTCAATTTTTTAGACTATCCAGGATCATCTCTCTAGGTTCTATCCAGAGTGCAATATGTCGTGTGCGAACACTTGCGTCAATTCGGCTGTAGGTGAAGGCCTCATAAGTACTTCAATATTCACCAGCTTAAAGAAGACAAATTGCGCCGAGAGCAGTTCAAGTTTGAATCTAATCTGTGAAATAGGAATCAAGGTAATTTCAATGTACTTGATTGTGAATTTTGTTTACATAGACTTTTGACATTAATTTATAATAGGCGTCAAACGCCACCAGTTATTGTGTGATTTTGTTTATTCTTCTATTTTAAATAGCCACGAGATACACAACTGTATATGCAATGTAGAATGATTTTCTTCCGAAAATGCATTTAACGAATATTTATGACGTTCGGTGTTTATCGAATCGACCGAGAAACGTGTGAGGAACCGCGGAACGATCTCTCGATGGTCCCAGAAGTCGCGCGAAGGACTTTGCTCTCTACTTGGGTGTACATAATCGCGCCCGGGTATATTTGCCGTTGTTACATTTATAGATCAAGGATAAGAAATCGAGAGCTATCGCGCGATCCGTCGTCGTGTCGCGCATGGATGCGCGATGCGGAGAAACACGAGATCGTGCTATCGCGTTTACAAAAGCGCTCCGGCGCAAAGGTCGCCGATTGCTCATCATCGCATGTGAGAAGAATAGAACTACTTATGCGCTGTATTGAAATTCATAAAACTTTGTACAAAGTATCCTTAGAAAAGCATATCACGAATGCGTAATCAGAGCACAATACGAAGCCTCAATATTGATCAAGATTTTTCTATTCAGTTCTATATAAATATTTCATGTATTTTGGCTCCATTTAAAAATATGTATTTAAAATATGTGGATTAATGTGAATAAGTGTGCGAAGATAAAAGGTAGAAATCATATAGGCAACGCGCGTAACAATTAAAGCTCTGAAAATATCGAAAATCGAAAAACATCTGCAATCACGTCGAAATGTCACTCCGCAGTGTTTGCGCGCGAGTTGCACGGCGACGACGCCATAAATTCGATCTAAAACGCGCGCGTTGGAACGCGCAGGACGACGCAACGCCAGATTACGTCTGTCCCCGCCGTCAGCACTTGCTTACGTAACGAGCGCGCTCATCCGTCGTGTGCGCCGCGTTGCAACGCTCATCGCGGTTCCGAGGGACTTGGAAGGCGAAGGGTCCCGGAAGCATCCGCCCGATCGGTCGGCCCGAACTTTCCGCGGGGAACGAAACAAAACGATGGCGCCCGAACGAGGCGCCCGCGATGCATTCGGTTCGTTCCACCACTGCTGAACAGAGGACGTGAGTGGAAGTGCGACGGACAGAGAAATTGCGCGCAAGAGGGAAAGAGCGAGAAGTGAAAGACAGAGTTGAGTAGCAATAGGTCTCGCGCAGGCTAGACGGAGACACGGGGAGCCTAGAGAGGTGTACGCGAGGGCACACCAAGTCGCGGAGTATCAACCAGCTGGTTGGCAAGGGAGCCGCGAGCAGTCGCCAGTGAGACGCGGCACCCCGCGAGCGCGTGTGTCACTTGTTCGCTCGCTCGCTTGCTCGCTCGTCCGCCCGCTCGTTCGTTCGTTCGTTCGACCGTCCGTCCGTACGTGCGCGCGTACGTCCGTGGCGCGGGTTTCCTCTACGTGTCCCCCTCTCATCATCGTCAAGCAGCAATCTCCGTTGTCGCAGCCGCGCGTCCGCACGTCCGTTCGTTCGTCCGAGAGCGGTACATTCGGTGTCTATCTGTTCGCGCCTGGCACCTCATTCTCGAACACGACACTTGCCCCCGCGACAAGCATCGTCTGCTGCCTCCTCCACTACGTCTCTCATCAACCTTTCGTTCATCTCGTTCGCGCGCGCTTGTTCGCTCCGTTTTACTCTTTCTCTCTCTGCCTTCCTGGCCTTCCCCTTCTCCAACCAGGAGGAGAGTGTGGTGTCGCGTAACGTGTGTACATCTCTCCCGCGTCTGTGTGTGTGTGTGCTGTCTGTTCTCTGTGGCTGTGTGTGTACGTACGCGCAACGAGCGAAACCAAGATGGCCGCCGACTCAGGAATGGAGACGTGTCCCTCCCCGGAGATTGCGGACTCCAGAAAGCGGCCGCTCGACTGCGATGCGGAAAACGGCGCGACCAAGAGATCACACTACGGATCAGGTATTTCGATCGGGCGTCATCGACGCCGCGCGTCACGTCGCCACGCACCGCGTCTCCATCGGCGATTTCGCTCGCTCGCTCGCTCGCTCACTCGCTAGCTACGTGTTCGCTGGTCGGATCGCCTCCTCTCTCGCGTGCACGCATACTCGCGCAATAAGCAATATAAATATACGCGGGAATATCTCTTTCTTTCTCCGCACCTCGTTCTCTCTCGCTTCATTTGTTTCTCTCCTTTACCTCGATCTCTCTCTTTCTCTCTCTCTCCCTCTCTCTCTCTCTCTGTTTTTCGTTTCGCGCGCTCGCCTTTGACAATCTCATCACCGTGCTCTGTTGACACGGCGCGATCTCATCCGCTCGTGATCGGCGGGCCATTCCCTTCGTTTCCTCTTCGGGATGGCGGGCGAAGGGGGGTCTCTCGTCGGATCGCTTCACTCAGGCGATCGGTCGTATGTACGCCCGGAGCATCGCGACAACGCGAGCACGGTGCACCGTCGCATAGCGCGCCTCTCCTCGCCTCACCTCGCGCATCCTCTCCTGTGCCACGTCTCCTCTCTTTCCGCCTCTGCCTCGTCGCCCCCTTTTCCTTTTTTCCTCTCCCTCTATTCTCAAACTCTGTCACTGCAGTGTATACTATCTTCTCCGATGTACAGAATTGCGCGTGCGAGATACATCCAAGTTCGACAGCAAACCAGAGAACACCAGTGGTTTGAATTTTGACGTTCCGTCCGCGCTTCGTCTTCCTCCTCCACCGTTTCGCCGTTTCTCTTTTTATCTCTCTCCGTCTCTCTCTCTGCCTCGACTGCGTGTGGGCGGTCGTGCCTGTGGAACGTCGTTAATGGAGGACCGCTTCCACGGCGGCGGCTGCTCCTACGGTGACTCTGCAACTTTGTCGCGCGAGCATCGGAAAAATTGCGGCGCGCGTTGTCGCCGTGCCGCTGCGTTCTCGCCGTCATCATCCGCATCGTCTTCGTGCATCGTCCGTGCGCGCGAGTCGCGCACCGCGTATTCGCGTAGCCGTAACGCGGTGCCGTCATCGTCGCCGTCGCCGAGAAGTCGCCACCATTGCCGTCGTCGACGTCGTCGCCGTGACGCGCGCCGCCGCTGCCATCCGCGCGCAGAACGACGGCGCCCACTAGGATGTGGCGCATCGGTGAGTTGTCACGCATGCACGTACCGCACCTCACCGCCCGCGCCGAGGTTGCGGGTCAAGGTCGCCGGGCCAGCCAGCCAGCCTGCCAGCCAGCCAGCCAGCCAGCGAACAAGCGAGCGAGCGAGCGAGCCGAGCCAGCGCGCAGGGCCTCCATCTGTCAAACAGCTGTTTGCCTTCCGCACGTCTGACTTCCTGCTGTGCGCCGTCCCTTCGGCTCGATTGCACCGACTTTAATCATCTCTCGTCTCTCTTTCCTTCATTACCGTCGCAAAAAGGACGGACAAGCAAATTGGTTAACCGTGGTAACTGTCGGTGCAACCGGGTCTGTTCGGATTATGTTCAGCCACGTCGATGTTTTTACCACGGCACCTCCTTCGGCCCGATTGCGTTGGACTTAGTCACCGTTGACCGTGACCGACTCGATTTTCTTTCTTCGCTCGTGACATAATCGAGTTTATCATTCAGAAAGAGTGATCTTTAAATAAAATTGATTAGTCAAAATCAGCGATACAATTATGGTTATTTAATTTTATCTTATTCATGTTTATTTTCCCTCTCGCGAGCTGATTTATTTTGCTTTTTGTCGTATTTTTTATTGATAAAACGTTTTTTAAGCTAGAATGTTTATCAAATTATTAGAATAATTTACGAAAAAGTTGTGGGAAATATACATGTCACATATGCTAGTCACGGAAGAGTTAATTGCGATTGTCTTGATTTTTCTTTTCCAGTTACTTAGTCGAAACTATAATTTCGAAACAACTGATAAATGCTAATCAAGAGCAAGTTTGTTTCTGCAATCGGGCTGTTTTTTTTTTCTTGCTTCTTGTTTGTGCGCGCGATTTATTCACCAACTGCGTGTGTCATCACTTGGTTGTTCAGCTTGTCAGCGTCATCCAACTTTGATTTCCTGAAACTTCCTTAATCATCTCGGTCGTTCGGTCATGAACGTAAGCAAGCAAGATTGTGCATCTTTAGAACGAATTGGCTTGGTAAACTATGCTCAGTCGTAGATTGAGGACTGGGAATTCCAATTTCGAGGGGGCAAATAAATCAATCTTAGTTCGATCGATAATTTTCAGCTGACGAATCATATGTTCGCCTGACTGGCGATGCAACATCGACGTTTCTCGAGTTGCGACAATATGTGACGCTCAGGATTGTAGTTAAATTCAGGCGATTACATTTAAGAATTGATTTAATTTTTAAGAAATTATTAGAACTTTTTATTTTTACAAAACATTAGATTTATGCTTTTAAAGCTTCAAAATATATAAATGCATTTTTCAGTAAATTAAATTAATTTATTTTTATATTTTTATATTACATCTTTGAATATAATTTTTACTTGCTAGAAAAATAAATATAGAATTTTTTTAATATTAAGTAATAAACTATTTATATTATTATTAAGTAATAAACTATTGCACGATCAACTTGCTTTTTGGC